GCTTCTTCTTCCATCGTAAATTGAGTGTCAGGGAAGTCGGCGTTTAGACGTTCCTTGAATGTCAGCACCTTATCCCGCTCAATTACGACGAAGGTGTCGTCCACAACGGTTGAAGTCGCTGGTTTTCCGACACCACAGACCGAAATGTTTGGCTCGGTATGAGTCCGGAAATCGGCGAACCCATGGGCGTGCCCTTCACCTGCTCGCAGGTTGTTTCTTTGAAGATAAAGTACGTCGTGAGAAAGAACTTCAGGAATTTGAGGATTTGGGCGTGTCCGAGGTGATTCTCCGTTTCATCGTGTTTGTCTCGCAGGCTTAATTGGATGGTCTCGACTGCGATTACGAACACGGCCAGCGGCGATTATGGGAGCTGCTAATTATAATGCGCATGCGGTCGCGTGGCCGTCACAAACGATAACTTTGTGTTAGTTCGCCCATCGTGCACGATGATTTCCACCATATGCCCAAGAGCAGGGACGGTGACTGTAGTCAGATATATTGAAAGTAGACGCACACTTCCCACTCTGTCCAACTCTAAACCCTCTCCCCGCTTGAACCGGTGACAAGACCAAGTCGACATAACAAAGCAGAAATCGGGCGTAAGCCGCTTTCTCCAATGCAGCCAGAACCACCGCCTTACTTAGTCTGAATTAACAGTAGCCTTTTGAGCTGATACTACTGCACTATCTACCCTCAATCACCCATAGTAGGTGCCCTGAAAGATTCGAGGAGTCCGAGTCTTCTATTTATACTACTACAACTACTTGTTATACTGCTGCTTCTAGCGGTGTATCTGAGTGGTTGTAGTGCTGATACTATTACCGACGCTAATATTTGGTCAGAACTATAAGTTTTGCGTAGTCTGTGCATATATCCTCCCATTCTTCTGTTATCTCCGATGAAGGATTCAAGGCAGAAACCGGAACGTCAGGCAAATAAACTCCTTATTCCAGCTATCGCAGTTTCTACTTCTGAACTTACCTAATTGTTTTACATGGGGAACTCCTCATTGGTACCCTTTCTGTCCTCAAGGTCCACTGCCCTGGTCGAGTTTCTGCTCGAACAGGCAATCCGGGTCTTATCTGAGAAGACGACTCCTGCCGCGGACGATTGCAAAGCGACCTATCCAATGCAGAATTTAAACCACCGTCACGTAGTTCCCCTCCTCTATGACGCGCTGAGGGAGATTCTGCGACTACAGGGTGTTGACTTTGAGATATGGTCGCGTCAGCTTGTGTGGCAACGACTGCAGCTGCCGAAATCCATCTGCTCCGAGTGGGACAAAGAGGAGGATGTGGATCTCGACGCCACGGCTATCACTTTTGATCCGGACTCTTCAACTCTGATGGATGCTACCACAGCAGACATTTCCCTCAATATGACTATGTCTTCGGTAATGCTTTTTGCTTTTCTTTGTGTTTGCAAGTGGTCGCATGACGGTTACATATTTTTTTAAGGGCGCCTGTTGGCGTCTTTTTTACAAGCGCTAAGTAGGCGGACCTCATTTCATGACTGATTATCGACCTACTTTTTCAGCTAGAACTGTCAGCCCTAAACAGGGTTAGCATGTAGACTTTTTGGGCCGGCAGTGTACCAAGCGATTTGCAGAACATCCGTTTTTTTCAGACAGTTTGCATTGATTAATGGCTTAATTGAGACTTTATCGATTCAATGTAGATGTTGTAAACGCTCTCCCAAGTGGGTGGGATGAAGATGAACTCAAGGATGAGGGCCGACCAAAGGCAAAGGAGATGGGAATGGCCATTTCAGTTTTATAAGTCGTCAGGCGACCATACCCAACTCCAAATTTGGATAGCCTGGGGTTGGAACTGTTCAGCCTGTGGGTGCTTTCGAGAGCACAGTGGCACAAATATATTACGCAGCGCAACTATCTCGTTGAGCAATTTCCTTGCGCTAATAAATAAACTCTTGTTAGGGACCGATTTCTTTGTTTTCAACGGTATTTATTATTAACTGGGAATTTGTTGTACAGCGTGAAAGTTTTTGTCCTTAGGGTTAAGCCCAGACCATAGAGATTTACAAATAGTATACATAAAATAAGGCAATACTCATTGCATAACACATAGTACTTGTAATATGTGGGGTGTAAGTCTGCAATTTTTGTTGTGGTGAACGATATTTAGGTCGGCCGTTTGTCTCAAAATAGGTTTTAATCCTTGGGAGCTCAGTTCCGACGACTTAACTCTGGATTAAGTTCAAACGAGGTCATAAAACTGCGTGTGGCTTCAATTCCGCTTTCTATTCTTAAAATTATGAATCCTCTCTCTCCGGAATATTTTTGTAGTTCTACCGCGTTTTTTGTCAAGGGCTGGATTTCTTCTCTATTCTTGCCATGAAAGGGAGTTGATTATTCAGAACCCCATAATTCAGTGCACACTTGTAATGTTTACTGTTCGTTTGAGGATATTCTCAT